TGGCGCTGCCTCTGGTATATGTGGCGCTGCCTCTGGTCTACGTAGCATGCTGACGTGGCGCTGCCTCTGGTATATGTGGCGCTGCCTCTGGTCTACGTGGCATGCTGATGTGGCGCTGCTCCTGGTATATGTGGCGCTGCTATTGGTCTACATTGTTGATGTGGCGTATGCCACTGCTATTGGTCTACATTGTTGATGTGGCGTATGCCACTTGTGTTGGTTGCTGGCGTGGCATTGTCCACGCTGTCTACATGAGGTGACTGGTTGCGAGGAAGAGGAAGATCGGGATCTGTGGATGTAGAGAATCGGGTACTCACCTGTGGCTGACGTCGTCACTGGAAATCTGCTGTGTCTTCAAAGTCTTCATGASATARAGTGCCMMGTGKCACTATTGTATGTGACCAGGATTATTCTTATTATCATTGATGATGTAGTGTGGAAAGAAGCCCGGAGAAGGAGAGGGATCTGAAGAGTTCTGTGTATTCTCTCTTCCTCTCCTTTTGTCTTTTCTCCCTCCATACTCCTTATTTTGGATAATGAGATAGTGCTCGAGATATCACTTCACGATCTGGAGACTTTCAGACAGATATTGAAACTACTATTGATTGACGGCTTCTGAGTACCTAACAGGCTGGGTTCATTGCAATTTGGTACCACAAGTCTAGACATTGTAGTAATGCATGTGCGAGCAGCTGTCCCTTGAAGATGATGACGAGGCTACGCTGACGATTGAAGAGCTGCGTTGGCAACAGGCTGAGGTGGCGCTGGTACCGCTGATGTGGCATATTGTTTATGTGGCACGCAGGGCATGGTCTGACGTGGCACGTACTTGTGTCACTACTGCTTGTTGTTGACGTGCTGACGTGGTATATTGGTGTAAGGCAGACCTGCATTGTGACGTGGCATCCCTCCTTGTAGACCGTTTCGGTCCTTGACGCTGACGTGACAGAATTGCTGCGTTGGCAGGCCAGGGGTGACACGTGGCATGCGTAAGGACTGTTGAAGGTGTGAATGTGCACTTGGGTTGTACTGCTGCTGCAGATGATTGAGAAGAGACCTGGTCGTTGATCGTGTTATGTGTTGGTTCTACTTACCTGTTGGTTGTCTGTGGATGCTGTGCATACTTACACTTGTGCTGTTGTCTTCATCACACTGGCCGTGGCTGCGGTACCTATAGTTGTAGAGTGTCATCACAAATTTCCTGCTGCGATCATCCATTGAATTTCCCGATCCCTTCCCGCCCTACCAGCTAGCAATGGTGGACCTGCAATGGTATGGAACCGATGGAGCATTCTGAATGAGGATAGAGCATACAACGGCTTCATAGAGCATTGTCCAGACAAGAGCTGGTCCCTTTGATGTTCAAGGTTATCATTTAGAGATTGGTAGTCGGGACTGGGCGGGGAGCGGGACAGGGGGAGAGGGAGGAACTTGTTTGTAGCAGCTGTTATTTGGCGCCCGTTTTAAGGTGAAGAGGTTCTCCTTCCTTTTCCAAAACTCCTACTCAGTCAATCCTCTGGATTCTAGAGTAATCAATGCTGGCAGGAGTCTCCCGCTACGTTTTTCTGACATGCTTCAAAGTTTTCTGTATATGGGACGCTGGACCCGTTTTCCAGCAGGTGCTGCTCCCCACTAATAGATGGAGCCCCTCTTCAGGTGCTAGTGGTGTCTGCTCTTACCAGCACCACTATCATTGGAAGGGGGTTAGTAGACAGCAAAGTTAGAACTCAGGAAAGACTTGGAAATTTGTTTCTTCTGATAATTTCTTGCTGTAAAGTTGCTGCAGAAGACGCGCGTACTGTGGAATTTATTTTTGTCTTTAATTTTACTTATTGTGCAGTAAATACACGCGGGCAAAATGAACTCTCTCTGGAAATGTCTGCGTGCCTCCATCCTGACGCGGTTCATTCCACTTCTCTTCCTTCCTATCCCTCTCGTAGTCTATGCTGATGAAGAAGTAGGGGACCTAAACACGTGTGGACAGATTGATGCAAGGAGGCAGACTTTGGTCGGCCTCATTCACCAGCTTCTTGGTGATATACACAGAGCCGGTCCAGCAGCTGAACAACACGTTCACGGACAGTTCAACCTGCTAGCAGAGGAAGAACTAGAGGCCGCGAAAACTAGTGTTCAGATGTTGGAAATTGGGCAGCGAGTCGAGGGAGCCATTAAACAAGGGCGTATGGCTCTTGACCGGTATGTCGATGAGCAGTTAGAAAGAATAAGCCGAAAAGGAAAGGAAAAAGAGACGAAAGAAGCAAAGAAAGTGGAACCACAACTGTCTGTGGAACTAATGGAGGAAAATGTCAGACGACTAGAGAATACCTTAAGGGAAGAGAAGAAAAATTGAAGAGTTCAAAAGAAAGAAAGAAGAGAGAGAACAACAAGAGAAGATGTTGGAGGAAATGAGGGAACGGTTTCACTTCGAGGAAATTGAGACTAACCTGTCGTCCGTGTTGCAATCTATTATGGCTTATCTTGTTCATCTTGAAAAGAAGATAGATTCCAATACTGTTTCATTAGAATGATGATAATGATGAAAGGTAAGGACAAGGTCAGTTTTGAGGAGGAGAAGAAGGGGGAGGTAGAAAAGAAATCATCCCAAGAGAAACTTTTGAAAGATGCAATGCAGAAGGAGGACAAACTTGGACCCTCGAAGGAGTTTGAGGAACCGGCCAAGAAGAAAGAAGCACCGACTGATAAGAAAGAAGAACCGGCTAAGAAAGAAGAACCGGTTAAGGAAGCGGAAAACCCGAAAAAGAAAGAAAAGGTTAAGATGAAATTGTCGTTTACCTACAACAACAAAAAGGAATCAAATTTGTTGTTGTGGATCGCCGAGATACAGACTTATTGTGGCACTGCACCCGTCGAGCTTGAAAGTCAGGTTGCTTTCTCCAAGTCTTGTCTGGGAGGAATGGCCAAGGAATGGGTGTTGGCCGAGGCCAACGCCGCTGGCTTTGAGGATATAGGTGAATGGGCTAAGATCCTGACGTTGAGGCAGTTTCTTTAGAAAATCAAGGAAAGATTCATTGACAAGACGACAACCGATAAAGCTTTTGATGAACTCACCACCGAAGGCCAAAAGCGTTGGACTTTTGTTGATGCCTTGTCTCGTGAAGCGGATTGTCTGTTGCAGGTACCTGGATTGAACCTTCAGGACAACCAGGTCCTTTAAATTTACTCACGGGCATTGCCCAGCTCGTGGCAGAATTGAAGTCTGCTAAGTATAATTACCGACAGTTTCGCGATCTCACTCCCCAACGAGAGCAAATGACCACGTAGGAAAAAGGGTCTTACGCTTCGGTGGTTAAGGCGGGATCGGTAGGTGGTTATGGCAAGCGGGTCATTTGGCGGTAAAAGCGCCAGGACCATATGCTTGTGCTATTTGATGATGAGACTGTAGAGAAGTTACCTCTGGAAGAATCTGAAGGAGGAGGAGGTTACGGCAGCAGTGAGTCCGGGAAGGGTGACATCACTGCTGTCATGGCCAACAAGGGAGGCCATAACCTGTGGAAGAAGAAGAAGAGGCCATGCTCGTTTCCCGAGCACCTCGGTATTGCATTCGGAAGGCCTTGGGAAAATATGAATATGATTCGAGAGGAATGACAGTACAAAATGGACAATCGCCAGTGCCTCAAGTGTGGCACCGTGGGGCACGTGATAGCCTGGTGCTATTTGAAACCCAAAAGCGAGCAGCCAGTAGGAGTAGCATCTGCTCCTACCGAGTTGAAGGGATTAGACGAAGATAAAGGAAAGGCGCCTGTAACCCCTTCTATCCCTTCGACTCTTAAGGCAGAGGATGACTCTTCTTCCGCCCGTCGTTCTTGTTCTGTCTCACTAGACGATTCCCTTGACGAGCTCGGCAATGAGCTAATGGCACTAAGAAGTTCGTGGGCGAAGAAAGCAAACTCTAAGGGTGAGTTAATGATCGTTGATGTTGAGATTGTGACACGCGAGTAGGTGCCTTGTTAGATCCAGGATCGATGCGGTCTTATATCTCAGAGAAGGTAATTCGAAAGTTGCATCTGGGAATGAAGGTAAAAGATTTACCTAGACCTATCACGTCTATATTGGCTGACAAGAGCACGATCACTGTCTCTCAATACATCAATCGTGTGAAATGCTATTTCAGGACCAAGGAAGGTAAGAAGATTCTACACGAGGTATCCTTCCTTATAGAGAATAATTTACCTTTTGACTTATTTTTGGGTATGGATTGGCATGAGGAAGCCGACCCAAAAGTTAAGTTCAAAGATAAAATTGTCAAACTCAAGGACAAGAAGTCCGAACTACGTGCGATAAAGTTATATCATAAGTTTGGCTCTGACTCTACTATGTCTTTCTGTTGTACGCGTTACCCAACTTTTCGATCAATGGTAGTATAGAAGAAGTTAGATCAGGAGGTGATGATGGTGCTCGTCAAACGAGTCGGTGAGTGTTCTTCATCCTACCCACTTTTTATTGAAAAACTTCTTGATGAATACAATGACTTGCAGTCTGAACCGACGGGAATCACTGAGCGTGCTATCAAGTACACAATCGAGATCATTCTCGGAAATAAGATTCCCAAGGATCCCATTTACCGTATGTCTCCCAGGGAACTTGAGGAATTACGAAAACAATTGCAGGAACTTAATGACAAGGGATGGATTTGACCCAGCTCATCTCCTTATGGTGCACCTGTCTTATTTGTACCCAAAAAGGAAGGTGAACTTCGACTGTGCATTGACTATTGTGGCTTGAATTTTGTCACTGTAAAAAGCGCGGAACCACTTCCGCGCATTGATGACTTGCTATCAAGCACACAATCGAGATCATTCCCAGAAGTACGATTCCCAAGGGTTCCATTTATCGTATGTCTCCTAGGGAACTTGAGGAATTACGAAAACAACTGCAGAAACTTACTGACAAGGGATGGATTTGAACCAACTCATCTCCTTATGGTGCACCTGTCTTATTTGTACCCAAAAAGGAAGGTGAGCTTCGACTGTGCATTGACTATTGTGGGTTGAATTCTGTCACTGTAAAAAGCGCAGAACCACTTCCGCGCATTGATGACTTGCTGGACCAACTACAGGGCTGCAGGTATTTTAGCAAGATTGATTTCAAGTCAGGGTACCACCAGATCGAGGTGGCTCCTGAAGATCAACACAAGACGATTTTTCGAACAAGGTATGGTCATTACGAGTTTGTGGTAATGCCTTTCGGATTGACTAACGCCCCTGTAACCGTTTAAAGGTCCATGAATGAATTGTTCCGTCAGTGGTTGGATCAATTCGTAATTGTCTACCTCGATGATATCCTAGTGTATAGTAAAACATTGGAGGATCATGAGAAACACCTACGAATGTTTCTTCAGAAGTTGCGCGAAGACAACTTCAAATTGAATCCGAAGAAGTCCTGAAATTTGCTAAGCCTGAAGTATTATACCTAGGGCACATAGTGAATGAAGATGGACTAAGGCCTGAAGAGAAGAAAATAACAGCAATCAGAGATTGGCCTCAACCTAAGACTGTCACTGAACTTATGTCTTTTCTTGGACTCTTTAGTTATTATAGGGAGTTCGTTAGAAATTTCTCCTTGATAGCTGCTCCTATGAGAAGACAACTGAAAACGGAAAAACCTTGGTTGTGGGACAAAGATTGTGAGTCATCTTTTAAAAGGTTAAAATATAACTCACTACCCTGTCCTAAAGAGTGTTGATCCTTCTCTTCCTTTCATTGTAACGAGTGACGCAAGTCAGTATGGGATTGGGGTTGTGCTACAGTAGGATGACGACAAGGGATATAGACCTGTTGAGTTTATGTCGAGAAGACTTCCGTCCGAAAAGGTAGCCAACTCTACATATGAAAGGGAACTTTATGCCTTAGTACCTGCGCTAGAAACCTGGAAGCACTACTTATTGGGAAGGCATTTTACTGTCTATACTGAACGTTGAAGTGGATCAAGACTCAGCCTAGACTCTCCGAGAAGTTAGTAAGGTGGTCCGCTTTCCTTGACACATTTGACTTTGAGGTGAAAACCGTCAAAGGTAAGTCTAACGTGGTTGCGGATGCTTTGTCTAAACGTGCAGATTTCTTTGGAACTATCGTCTCTTATCTCGATATTGGAAGTGAACTGAAAGAACAGATCCGCGAGGGTTATGGGAGTGATCCTATTTGGAGTCCTATCATTGGAACTCTACGAAAGAACCCTGAGTTATTTCCAAAATATTGAATGATTGATGACTTACTCTTCTTGTTGGACAAAATCGAAGTGCGATTGTGTATTCCTCACCTAGAACCAATTAAGAGTTTGATCATTGGGGAATGTCGTGATGCGGAAGGTCACTTTGGTTTCAAGAAGACGTATGCTGATGTACGAGAATATTTTGAGTGGAAAGGAATGAAGGAAAATGTACTAACATATGTGCAAACTGGTCTTGTCTGTCAGAGAAACAAACCCTCACATGAGAATCCGATGGGACTACTGAGACCACTGCCTATTCCAAATGAGCCAGGTGAGTCCATCTCTATTGATTTCATGAGCCTCACTAAGAGTCGAAATGGCAACAGTCAGGTAATGGTCATCGTCGATAGATTCTCTAAGTATGTTATGTTCATTCCTTTACCTGCGGAAGCAAGAACCGAACTAGTCATCCAAAAGTTTCAAATGCGATGGGTCTCTGAGTATGGATTTCCTAAAACCATCGTATCTGACAGAGATGTTCGGTTCACGAGTCTGCAATGGCAAAAGTTGATGGAAGTCTATGGAACCTGGTTGACCATGTCGTCAGGCAGCCATCCTGAAACAAATGGCCAAATTGAGCAAATGAATTGTCTTTGCCAACAACTTCTGCGAATGTTTGTCCGTCCTGACCATGTTGATTAGGATGAGAACTTGCCAAAAATTGCTAGTGCATATAATATTAGTATACATACTGTTACAGGTAGAACGCCTAATGCACTACATAAAGGTTGGATGCCTAAGCGTCCCATTGATGCATTAACAAGGGATCAGATTCAGAGGCTACCCCCAAGAACGCGAGAATTCGTAGTTTTGTATGAAGAAGACATCAGGAAAGTGAGGGAAAACGTACAGAAAGACCAACTGCAAATGATTGAACAAGCTAATAAACATCGTCGTCCTTCGCAATTTCAGGAAGGGGACTTTGTCTGGGTTAAGTCTAAAGAGTTTTCCTTAGAAGAAAATGTGTCTCAGAATCTGCTACCTGTCTATTATGGACCCTGCGAAGTTCTCAAAGTAATTGGAGGAGAAGGTGGACCTTCTTACTGTATAGATATACCTCCTCATCTCAGGACACACCCTGTCTTCCATGCGTCTAAGCTGCTACCTTATGGAGAAAGTGACAGTTTCCCAAATAGGGCATCTATGATTCCACCTTCAATGAACGAACGCTACGAAGTTGAGAAAATATTGGAACATGGCTATTTCTCTAGAGGTGGCAGAGGACGACCTAGAAGCAGCACAAGGTAAAAATCCCAACCTCCATCTGAAGCTAGATGGTTTAGTAGGAAAGAACTTCTACCTACTGGTCCTGACATTGTTGCGGCATATGAACGTGGGTTAATTGACAAATTATGTATTTTCTGCGATGGAACTCGAAACTGGGACGACAGGAATGCAATAACCCATGCCATATGTCTCGTGGAACTGAGGGCCATCATAAGGCCTACTTGGCCACCCTCAGCCCAGGCCGAATAAGGGCAGAAAAGGCCCTTCATGAGTTCAGCGCCTGGGCGTGTGACAGTTGACTTCGGTCAACTGTCGGTCCACCCAACAATCAAAGTCCAAAGGTACCTAGCCCAGGTCGCAGGTCAAGCACACACATTTGTTTGTATGCAGGTACCCAGACAACATCAGGTCCAAGGGAGAAGTCCGCAACTGTACAATTCGGGCCTTGAGATGTGAGTCAATCTGGACGACTGGAGGAAAGCACCTGTGGCCAGACAACCTCGGCGACTGCTACTTAAGGCTGGCCTCGAGCGAGTCAAGCATTCAGTCTTGCTAGGCTACTTTGACGCTGGTTCGACTTTGGTGAGACGCTGGTTACATGCTGACTGTGC